TATTTGATTTAATGTCCCAATAGACAGGACTGTAAGTGGCTGTATATTTTTTATAGAATATTAATAAAAGTAATTTTTCTTTAATGTTATTTTAAGGGGAAAATGTTGAGAGAAAAAACTTTTACAATCAGTGTCAGTATTTGGAAAAATAAAATATTTGGAGTTACTCCCCTTTCAGTTCAATGAAATTGTCATCCAAACATATAATTTTTTAAGTAAAGGAAAGAGGGAAGGAAAAAAAGAAAGGTAAAACTTTTTTTGTGGAATTATATGTATAATCTCAAGTAAGAAACTAGAGTTGACCTGACTCAATATAATCAGGGAATTTTTATTTATTTGTATTTTTTAAAATTATTTGAGAGACCTCTAGCACCCCCATGGCATGTTGGCATTGTTATTTGATCTGTAGACCCTTTATTGAAAGTAAACTTATCTAGAAAACCAACCCATTAGCTTGTCTTAAAACGTTTGACTTTATAAATGGATTATGATACAGATTAATCAGTAAACAAAATATTTGCATGGTGGATTTTCCGGTACTTTTTATATCAGTTAGTCTTTCTTTTATGGCTCTTTTGTGTGAATTTCTATTCTTTAAACCAAAATTTAAATAAAACAAGTGGATTATCAGGCAAACAAAAATCTAATCATTGTTGATCCATTGACGCTGAACAGTTTTTAATAATAAACAAACTGGTATTGACTTTGGCCTTTTAAAAATTTTAATTTTGCCAGTTTTAGGATAAATTGATCATTCAATTGTTAGCTACATGAATGTGTTGGTAACTATATTAAAAGAGGGATGTTCAGATTGGTTCAGGCGTTCCATCATCAAATTATATCAGTAGCCGCATTTGTAGTTGTATCACAATAGACTAAAGAAGTTGATTTAAAATGTGAATGTGTTTTGTGACTCTGGGAGAGAAAAAGTATTTAACGTCATTATTATTCATCATCATTATTCAATGTTTGTTTAAACTAAGCGGTAATTTATTCACAAACTTTTTAAAATCGATTTCGGTAGAAGTGTAACAAATATAGACACAGAGCCTGTATTATTCTGTATATACTAAAGAAATTTACATACCAGTTTTAAATGAGTTTTGTGTCAGTTTAAATGGTTTCTGCTGATCATCGTCACTTGCAAACGAAATGTTGTTTTGAATACCGTGCGATTTTAACTTTAACCTCTATAAATTTTATAAAAGTGTTGACATAAAATTACTTGAGTAGATTGTAAAGAGGAAATATAATTGAATGATACTAAGGTTAAAACTTATATGATTGAAATGATCTATAATAAAAGTGATTAGTACAAGGAACAGTTTTATTTGAAATGTGCAATGCAGGACAGTACTTTTTGTGGACTAATGAAAAAAGCAACGGTAATTTGTCCTCAGTGTCCATGGTTGTATCCTGTGAGGGTGAAAAATCACAGAAATCTCAACTCATTAAATTTGTAAGTTACATGCTTTCATTTTATTGGCTTTGATTTTGAATTAAAAAAAAACAGCATCCATTAAATTAGATACATTACAGTACTATAGTCACTTTAGTTGATATTTATATTATAAAAAAAAAACTATATTCAAAAGTACTGCTGAATTTTTCTATTTTACATAACGGTTAATTTGACATCCATGTAAATAAAATTTTTATTGTTCTTAAGACAACTTTTTAAACCTCAATTTAAAAATTTGATTTGGTTCTAAAAATAGCAACTAAAGAAATCAATGGGCAAAATGTATTGTGCAGTATTATTTTTTAATAGGAGATTTGAAAAAAAAATGCAAAACCTTTTAGAACTAGAAATCAATTTCATTTGGTGTAATTTTATGCAAACAAAACTATTAGCAACCATCCAATATTCATGGTCATATAATATATTTACTATAACTGTACTGTATATTGCATAAATTCATGTTTGAATATATTTTAATGATAAAGTTATAATACATTAGCTAGAATGAAATAGATCAAACAAATCCTAAGTTTTTTTCTACTGTAAAAGCAGTATTTTAAGTACGTGTAAGCAAGGCATTTGAAGATGTTGTTCAAGACATTTATATTGCTCAAGCATTTAAGGTGTATTTTTTAATTGGTTATTTATTAAAATACAAAGCCACATTCAAATCACATTCACATTCAAGTATTCTTATACATTTGTTTTTTTCTTGTATTCTTATTTCCTGTATTTGAATTTATTGTTTACTGCTTGATGTAAGGCAACCATTCAATATTAAAATTAATTTTTATTTGATACAAATTTTAAGTCTTTGCATCCAAAGAGTTGACTGGGTTATATAGAAATATGGTTATCTGGACTTAACCCATACTAAAGAGGGCTGTTCATTTGACTGAGGGATATATGGAGAGTTGTACATTATCTGCATGTTACAGAACCCTTGCAACAACTCTCTAAGGATTCTAGGTGTCCTGTTACATGGCAAATGTTTTGTCCATATCCAATATTCCCCATGGTAGACTAAATGTTTGCCCCTCAGCTCTCAGAACCTATGTTTTGGATTTATTGTTAATTTTTACTGGTCCTGAATTCCACGAAATGTTTGCCACTGGATGTTATGCAAACATTTACAATCAATCAATAAAAACTCTTTTTGAAACTGAACCTTTATTTTATAAGTTAGTATACACAACTTTCTTTAAAACAATTTTATGTCTTATAATTGATTATTTAAAGTAACTCCCTATTGACTGCCGTTTTGCTTATTTCCATGATTTTATGTTCCTTTGGCAATTTTATGATAAGTAACAGTGGATCGTTGGTTTAAAACAAAACGCTGACCAGTTTCTCCTTTGGGATCTTTTGTTATTTAATCTGGCTAATCATATCGGGTCAATCCATGGCCTTTAAACATTTATTTTATTGTTCAAATTCATTTTAGGGTATACTAAACTGTGTCCTTGTAAGATTACACTTATACCCAATGTTGTGTGAACGTTTAACGCATGTTCAAATTACCAACGGAACCTGTGTCAAGGAATACCTTTAAAATGGTCACCATAAGATCATTCTTCCCCTTAGGATAATAACATATTTACTAAATGATTGGTGTAAATTTAAGTGGAGTAATTTTAGGATGACTAAAACTTTGTTTGTTTAGATATGAAGATTAAGTTTTTGAATAATAGAATTCTATTTGTACTATGGATTATCAAGTCCGTCGATATTCCACACGTAAATCGTATCTGTCATTGAATAAGATTTTGGCTGAGATCAGGTAAGGGAGATAATTACATATAAAAGATGGGTTTGTTTGAACAATTGTTAGCAGACATCTAGATCAACAAATATGTAGATGTAAATAATAGTGCGTTGTTTACATTGTATTAGATTTGTTAGTTATTTATTTGAATTATAAAGAAATAAATTGTATACTTGAAATCCACACCTTTTGTAAGTACAACATGTACATGAAGAATACTGGTACTTGCCAAGGTGTTTAAAAGTACTACATTACAATAAAAATATACAACTTGAACATTGTCTAAGAATGACTGTTTGAAAGAATAAAAATGTTTTATAGAAGTTGACTAAAATTCATGTATAAATGCATGCTCTTCAGATGCTGGTTACTGAAGACCTAAAATGTCCATGTTTAGAGCTTTATATTGTTAGGTTTACTATGTCTTTTATGCTTACGAATAATATCTCCTTTTCCACTTTATTTCATGTATCATAATTTTTGGATCAATATATTCCATTGAGAAGAAATCGTTAGCACTACAGTGTATATAAATTTATTGTATGACTTTTCAACTTTTTATTATTGTTACCTAACAAAAATGTCCTAGATTTTAGTGTAAACTTATATATGATTTGCTCAATTAATTTAGTCATACTGAAATCAATGCATCTGCATAAGTATAACAACATTGTTTGTTGAACTTTTTTTCACCAACTTAATATAAATAACTGTTTTTTTTTTGTATACATGGTATAATGTTTTTGATTTTAGGAGACACAAAGACATTCTTAGGTATGATGGTTAAATGATGCGTTTTTTTGGGCTTTATTTTGGTAATAAGATCTTAGCTAGAAAAACAAAAGTTTATCTTTAAAAAAATCCAGTTGATTATTCTATAATTTTTACAATTGACCAACATTTTATGTAACTAGTTTTGAAATTTATCTTTTAATTGATTCAAAATAATGTGTCTCATCGGTTTTCAGCACTGTTTTGATTCAGAAGAAAATTGTATACCATATCTATACAAGAAAATACACAAAAACCTTGTACTACATTCTGACAGATCTTATGTTATTAGCTCACACCAGTCCAAACACCATTGTGATCATACCAAATTACTCAATACGCTAAAGTTCTTCATGTGAAATTAATTAAGTATCTTTTATTGAAATATTTAAATATATACAGAAATGAAAAGATACATGAAAAACTTTTGGTTCTTTGGTTTTTAATTTAAATCACGTTTTTTTTTTTAAATATTAATAAAAGAATGTGGCTTGAATTCATATGCAGCTTGCAGGGTGTGGTATCCATCTAATAGATCATAAGGTGAACAGAAGATGTTAAACTTTCTCCTTTGTTCTTTGTGCTGATCTTGTTGGCAGGCATACTATATCTTCTAATATTAATGTCTAAGACAAGTACGACAATCTGAAAAGAATCAAACATGTTTCCTATAAGGACATGTTGCTAGTGTTCTGTCTCTAAGATGAGAGAACTGTAAAGAATTCTTTCACCTATCACTGTATACAAATAACTTGCACTGTTTGAATGTTAATGGCTGGATTATATGACACTTTGTTACTTGTTGAAGTATGTCATTGTGAACTGTTATGTTAGACAAAGGGATATATAGAAAAAAAGTATTGAACTTTGACTGGTTCTATTGATCTTCAGTCACACTTATTTGTACAAATGGATCTGATTTCAAAAGGTTTTTACATTATTATATTATGTATCATGTTCAATTTTTTTCGATTTTTTAAGCCAATTATTGTCTATTTTCAGTTCTTCCAGCACGCCAACAGTTCCATATTCAACTACAGATATATTATATGGCAACGAGGTTCGAAACTCACCTCAGCTGGATGAAATTAGACAAAACAGTTTTATTGAATACAGCAAAGATAAAGACCGTCTTAGTTCTAACAACCTAGTGGACTTTAATAATCGAAGACCGGCAAGTAAAAGTGGAACCAGAAAATCATTATCTATAGAAAAAGGTAAGTGTCACTATGACAGAATAGAATTGTTTTAATAGTAAATATAGTATTATCTTGTGTTTAGCCTTGGTTACTATTTAAAACCTCCATGGTATAAGGGAATTTAAATTTTACATTTCAATAGATCTAGGATTAGAAACATGGATTTTGTTTTCTGGCTAGAATTCAACAGAGAGAATTATTCCAATATTAGATGTAATATATGACCTAGCTAAGAACAAATTGATAAATCTGGTAATTTATTTTTAAACTTTATTGTTTCGACCTTTCAATTTCGACCATGTTTGTGATAAGTTGTATACTTTTGTATTGGAATTGATTATGTATAAGTTTGATTCTGGTAAGTTTTGGCATTTATATATGTAAATATTCATGATATAAATTTTCCATTAATAATCCACATATAGATAAAAGACATGCATATACATGTTAAGTTTAAATTTATATGTGATATGATATAAAGTTTTATGCATTTAAAAATTTTGACAATTTGTCAAAAGCTATACATTGTATTGTGAAAAGTGCTTAACATTTGTGTTCAATTCTTTTCTTGATGTCATCAGGATTGTATCTAACTTTATTGGTGTGATTTTATACCCATAGTTTGCCGCCCTTTACTCAACACTGCCATCATGATGATACTCATTGTTCAGCTTGAACATTCATTAACATGAAGAAGTGGAATGATAAATATATATAAAGAACTTAAACTTTAATTTGCAATGTCAAAGATGAATTGCTAAACAAACATCCCTCTGTTATAAATTACAGATAATGATACTTCTTTAAAAGGTTTATAAACTGATTGTGTATTATAACAATAATGATTGGAAATTTTAAATTTAGGACAGAGTACAGACACAATCATTGTTCACCTTTCTATGAGTTTTGCATTAAACACTATTTCATAAGACCTGTCTTTAGATAAAAAAAATGAGGAGACAATTTTTTTGCTAGATTGACCCTCTTTGTTTAAGAAGAAAGCTGACTTTTGACAGGTCAATTTCTTTGTCTTGACTTATTCAGGCATTAACATTTGAAATTATCCAATATTCATTGTTTGCAAAGTTTGAAAGGACTTTTTTCTTCACCATCAGAAATTAGAGATGTATATCAGAAATATTGAAAATAGGGGGGGGGGCTTTTAGTTTTACATCAATTGGTTTTGAATCTCATATCAAAAGTAATAGAACAAGATTTGTGAATGAACAAGTGCAGATGACATGAAATTGTCTAAATATCATAGCAGATAATGTAGGGTCATGTTAACTTGCAAAGTTGTGCATCATATTGAGTATGTCAGTTATACAGGTGTATATATGTCTTGAATTACATGTACATAACATGACTATTATTATACCCCCGCTTTACCTCTGTCTGTCCTTCCGTCAGTCCATCCGTCAGTCCGTCCGTCCCCTGAATATTTTCGTCGCATTTTTCTCAGGAACTACTTGACAAGGATTTCTGAAATTTGGTTTCAGGGTTTATATAAGTATAAGTTACACCGTGTGATGCGTTACCAGATTCAACACTCAACAACTTCCTGTTTATCGAAATATTTCGGCGGGGGTATCATCAGTGAGCAGTAGCTCACAGTTTTACTTGTATTAGAACTTTGGAATTTACAAGCATTTTTGAAGACTATTGGATGAGTTTCAGTTGTTTTTTTTTCTCTATATGGGATATCAGGTATTTGTTTGTTGTTAAAGTTGGTATAATTGTTCACCTCTAGATGCTTAATTAATTTAGCATGTGTTATTGGGGTGTCCTTTTAATTTATATTTTGGTTATATATTTATATCTTTTGAAACAGTATGTTCTGTCCAAATAGACTTCTTGCAGATAGCATTATTAGAAAAAAAATGTGTATTGCATAGATTTATTGTAATGATATGGACATCATAAGGGATTTCAAATATTTAAAGATTGATTTCACAGATGATATTGAATAAGTATTTTAAAAGCCAATAAGTGAAGCACTTTGAAATTTGGATAATCAATCCTCAACTTTTCATTCAATAATTGATTTTAATTGCTGTTGAAAGCAATTAGACTTTTAAAAATTCTTTCACACTTTTATGTTAGGTATTGTAAACCAATTGCAAGCAGTCGTAGCATCATAGCAACTATTCATGAAAATAGGCTTAAAATTCTTCATTAACAAAATGGCCTTTCTTCAAGCTTTTTTAAATTAGTTTTCTTATTTTCATTTTCAAAACCAGGATTGTCCTATAAGTGTTTACATAAATGAAAGTAAACTTGAATTTCATTTATATTATCTATGAAAGAATACAATACATACGATTGTCATTTGTAAATATCTTTTGTAAATATTGCTCTTTGTACCTGTGGAGGTTTTATCAATGTTATGGCTGCCATTTTAACCAGTTTTTGAATTTTTGGTGGATTTAAGAATGATTTTTAGACATATTTACTGTCCTCAGAAACCTACTGGAGAACCCTACCTTATAACGGGCAGGGGTAAACGTATGTATAAAATGTTGTAAAAAATGGATTTTTATTTTCTACATACCAGTATTGATATCACATTGCTTTATCATACCTAAGCTCTATGGTCATAAAAACTATGTACTATCAATAGTTTAACATTAATGCTTCATAAATGACATATGTTTAAATGAAAGCATATTTTGGTGGTGTGAAGAAGCTTTTAAAAAGTTTGTTGTTTTTTTATCACTTAAAACTCAATAGTCGAAGCCTTTTTGATGGCTTGATATTTTTGTCTTGAACCAGTAATCTGGTGATCTGTTGACATTAGTCTCAGTACATTATATAAAAAGTTTGTGCCATATACCGCAAAAATAGTTTCCTCTTTAATTTTGTGGACTCTTGCTCAAGTTACTGGACTGTCAAGACAATCTGTTAATTCTTATGTGGTGTGTCATAACTAATTTGCTTTGTTTTTGCAGTGAATTTTAATAAAGAAAGTGATGACAATTTGAGACCTATACTGCCAAGTCCAGGGAAAAACGGCAATCAGTACCGACCTAATGGTTTACGGAACGGTTTACTCAAGGGAGACCCCCTGTATGGTTCAAGGGGAGGTAATTATTCATCAGGTAGTTACAATATGAAGCTTCTCTATTACTTTATTTGAATAACCTTAAACTGACAACACTGCTCTGTTGCTGCAAATAATTTTCCCTTAAGAAAAAGAAAACAATTGTTTCCACAGAGAAATTAACAGACATATGTGTCCTTCAATTGTCTAAGAATAATAACTTGTTGGAGAACATGCTACATTGGGATCATAATTTAGTGCCCTGGACTAGTAATTAATGGTCCCTGCATGTTGGCAAGTATTTTATTGAGTTTGAAAATGGGAATTTTTTTTTAAATTATGATTTTAAAACAGCTAGATTTGACTAGTTAATTAATAAAAAAAAATAACAATTTTCCCTGTAAATTTCACATGTTTAAATTACTGTATATTAGAAATTTTGTGTGCATTTGTTATTTCAAACAAATGAAAAAATGTGTGATCAATTATTGAGTTTTCAGGAAATGATGTATATAAATAATGCTATCAAAATTTGAAATGCAAGTTTTTATTTTTGAAAAACCTATCCCTTTACATTTTTCCCCATAATAAAAACATCACAAATAATGTGAATTTACTATACCCTGTTTAACATAACTCCTCCATTTCTTCTATTGTTTATCTCAGTAGAACTATATGCCTAAAGGAAATGTTTGAATCATATGAATGGTTTCAGTTTATTTTATCAAAGATCAGACCAAATATTAAGAATTCAATTATATGTTCTTGAACTATACAAATTTGAATACTGAATATTACAGTTGTAGTACCTTATTATGGTAAGATTACTTATTGTATGAGCTTGCTGAAACTGCAGTTTGTTATTCATTATGCGATAAAAACTCATTTTTACCTTATTTTATCCTATTTTGACAAAATTTCATACATGTATTAAGTTTGAATATCTCTTTTATTTATTCCTTACTTATAAGAACATTTCATGGTGTCTCTACAGAAGCTAAACTATGCCTTTATTTGGTATATTCATGTCCACGTATTCAGTATTTAGGGTCTTTGGTATTTTTTCTGGATTCTTCAACAATAAAAACATCTGTAATGAATTAAAATTTTGGTAGTCAGAAGTTTAAATGGTGTTCCAATGCTTTCAAGCAGAATGTCCAATCACAAATAATCATGGCATGATACATTTTTAGAATATAAAATTGACCATTCATAAAGCTGTTATCAGATGTGGCTACATATAGATGCTATAGCAGATTCATTTTGAAGTCTTAATAAACAAGAAATTCAAAAATTTAACAGAAAAACTATTCTCTTATAATATGCTGGACATCTAAGATCAATAAACTCTTCCAACAACAATACAATATCTATTTCTATGTTGTAAATCTGATGTTGTACCTCAGAGTACTAAACCAAACTACAGTGAGAAGATTAATATGTTCTCATTCAAAAAACCAGATTTATAGAATTGGGAAAGACTATGCTGTGCAATATCAGTAATATATTTGACTCAATTGAAAGTCGACTAACTACATTGCATGTTGCATGAAATCACATTTTGTTAAAACTGCATGTAGTGAGCAGTTTTTGAGAACCTGTTGTAGATTTCCTTATTCTGCTACAATGTATAGAAAAAAATCAGTCAGTGTGTTGCATTTAGATGTCCTAGCATGATTTTTATTTACAAGGGAAGAAGAATGAGGGGGAGGTTTTAAAAATTTTGAATAGTGATAAGTTTTGAATCATAAAAATAACTGAAAATACAAAATTAGATCTTCTATTGAACTTAACATGATCAGTACATAAATATATGAATAAAGTAACTGCATGTAATAACTTTTACATTTATTTTAATTTTTAATTAGTGAAAGGACTTAAACTATGTTCTAGTCATTTTTATACGCCCGTTTACGGGACGTATTATGGTATACCGTTGTCCATTCGTCGTCCACATGTTGGACAATAACTCAAAAATGCTTTATCCAGTTTGTATGAAACTTTGGTGGATTGAATATATCTATTGACGTAAGCTCCCTTTTAATTTTAATAAATTTTAGATTTAACGTTTTCGAGTTATGGGGTTTTATTCATTAAAAAAAGGGGGATTTTCCAGTTTGCAGACATCATCGTTTAAGTGCTTTGAGCAGTTTTCATGAAACTTTGGTGACTGGTTTATATCTATTAAGATAACCTCCCTTTAGTTTCATAAATTTCTGATATGACATTGAGAAGTTATTGAACTTTATTCTTTGAAAAAACGACGGGCATATCATGCGCTCATGGTGCAGCTGTTTATTAATAGATTGTTAAAAAATTTGTATTTTGTACCCTTCATTGAGCATGACTGAAATATTAGTAAAATAGATTTACACCTTGAGTGCGAGTTTTTAAGTAAATGTGATCTGAATCTGTTGTATACTAAATAATTTTAACGAAACATTGCCTACTTTTTGAATTTATGGTATTTTAAATATTTATACTTTATTGCTAGATATATCTAAAATCTGTCCAAGGACAAAAATATGTTTTCCTTTGAAATATAATATGTGAAAAATATTGATATTTGATATAGAAAAACTCTTTGTAAATATTTTGTATTTACTAATAGTAAAGATAACTTTAGTATTATAACCAAGACAACACTTCCACTAGGTTAATATAACTAAACATTGAAAAAGTGCTAAAATTATTTACCGGGTATTTGAAATTTCTTTATATGTTGCATTTATCACTTAGAGGTCCTTGCTGATGAGTATTGACTTCAGATTTGTAAAACATTTTTTTTTTTTTATAAGCAGGAGTGATTTTAAATGCTATATTATTGTAAATGCTCTCCTTTGATCTCCTTCTTAATCTTAGACATTTTTTAATCATTCAGCCATTTTATTTGCTGATAAATAACGATTTTAAGGAAAACCAAAGTGATAATGATTGTGTTTAATTGATTTCCGCCATAAAAATGGACGTTTATTATTAATCAACTATATATAAAGTTATCTGTTGTTCAGATCTTACTGTTGCATTCTGGGTATTGATTATTTCTATCTGATACCATTCATATTGTAACAATGGACAGAAGACAATTACAAAGAAATCTATAAAGTTTAATATGAAGGAATTCATAATTTTACCTGATAATCAAACAGGTGTTGCTACAAATTCAGTTTTTAGACCAACGTCCATGGTTCTGGAAATAGCAAACGTGTTTTCTCATAATGAAAAACTTTTTAATGGACTTTAAAATGTGGACCAAATGGAGAGAAAATAGTTTTGTAAGATTTAAAGTAATGGATGAACGGGAAAAACTGCCAAGAATACACAGTAGTGTTGTTAGGCACCTTTTGGCTTACAATTTACGACACAGTAAGTTATGTGCTGTTTTTAACACCTGATATATTATTTATGTGACTACCATGGAAAAGTGTAAATACAATCCGATAATGGTAATTCTAACTAGGTTTGTATGGAAAATCAAAATGTATCTTTTCTTCTATAAGAGTTTGGAAAAATACAGAAATCAAGATTCTAAACAGCTGCCAAAAAAACTTTGATAGCAATAAGAATTTTAATGAAATATGAAATTGTTTCTGAATATCTGCTTGAAATTGTCTGTAAAAAATAGCATAAACTCTGCAACTAAACAGTTTTAAAAGTAGTTATGAGATGAGATATTTCTTAAAAGTTGAAGGGGAAGTTATCTTTGATGTCACACTACAGAACATCTGGTTTCATATTAAAAAGGTTTGAAAAAAAAAATCCCTTGAATTTGACAGTTGTAGGAAATTAACATTTCATTGCAGGAATTTTTTTCTGAGTCATAAACAGATATCTTGGGTTTTTCAAAGCACTTTTCTTTTTTTATTTGGTATTCATATAAAATATTTTGAAAACTTGAGGTGACATGATTACTAAAGCTTGTAAACGGGGAAAAAGGTGAAAAGTTGCTTGGTTTACTTCTGGTGATGGTTATTTTTTTTATATGCAATGAAATGTTATGTGGATTTTTTACTGTAGTACTGGATAGGATAAAACTGTTCTCAAGTATTTTTTTAAACCAGGATGAAGTTCTACACATTTTTTGAAAAATGCCAATTAAACAAAGACTAATGGGGTAAAACAAGACCATTAAGGTGAACATCAAAAGCTTATACCACTGAATATAAGACAGCAATCAATTGATCAAAAGTTAAGAATATCTGGGACTCATTTAAAAAAAAAACTCACTAGAAAAGTAAGTAATGAACATTTCAGTCATAAACTGAGACTAATGTTAGTCATAAGATTTTTTTGTAAAAAGAGCTCCAGCCCCTTAACTTTTAATTAAATAAAAACAAAATGAACTTGATAAGGAAACACTTTTTAATGTTATTTCAAAAGAAAAATTAGATTCAAGCGAAAACTGTACATAATATTTTTTTTTATTTAGGGAGGTGACTTCTTGCACTAATTCTCTTATGTACAATGCTGAATGGTGACATTTTTTGTCTCCACCCTTCAGAAAATCTTCAAAATTGATTTGACATATAAGTAATAAGCAATTTTCAGAAGGGCTACTTTAAGCTTTCCATATGTCATGGGAATCATTAAATAAGCCTATATTTTGCAAATTGCAGAAATGAATATATATTGAATATTTCACATCAAAAATGGAATTGGGATCTTATGGGATATATCCATACAGTATAATGACCACAACATGTAGTGGTAAATTTAAGATTGAGATAGCATGAATAGCTCTTATAAAAATAATAAGGAGAGATGGTATGATGGCAATGAAACAACTATCAACCAAAGACAAAAGGATGAGGATATATATACAATTGCAGGACACCATACAGCCTTCCAACAAGTCCATTTGGATCATGTAGTTGCTGTGTTTCTTGCCAGCCAAGCTTTAGATTTTGTGTTCAATTTGTCTTGCAAACTATTTGAATAAAAAAATGCACCATAAATTATTGCTTAATTTATTATATATCTAAGATTTTTTGTACTAATTGATTTTATGAAATAAAACTGCACTCTGAAAATAGAGAAATCGATTTAATCACACACAAAATTAATTTGGCTTTAATTATACTTTTTTGTGGTTGGGTTCTTGTCTCATTGATATATACCCACATGTAAAAAATACCAAGGAAAAATGAGGATAAAGAACGTTTTAAATCTTGACACTCAATAGACATAGGATATAATAATTGTACAAGAGAGTTGAATTACAGTTGTTAGGCAATTTGAGATAATTTGGCCTATGTACAATAATGGAATGATTTAAATTAGGTTAACTGGTTGACATAAACTTAAAAAAGAATTATTATGCTATTTTTGTCTGTCATGTAAGTGAGAAGAGGTGATTCTGTACATATTGTACTTTAAACAATTCAAATCACTGGAGGGAAAAAAAAATCAGAGTTTTGATAAATAAGATTCTATCATACTTTAACCTTTTCTTTTTTTTTTAATTATTCATGTAAACTTTTTTTGTAGTGGTTTTGAGGGGGGCTTTGTTGATTAAAAGTCTACTATATAATCAATCTCTTGGCACTGGTCCTTAAAACAATAGTAAATCTAAATTGTGAAAAGCCCTTATATGTCCATTATGATATTTCCATAAAAAATCTTACAATAAAATGATTTGTAAATCATGAATCAATCGCTATAACTTATGATCAATTTTATTAGTAAAAGTTCTGTTGAATTCTGTTTTGAATTAAGCTCTTTTACATAAAACAAAACATTCCAGTTTTCTTCATTATATGTAGTAACATTTTTTTAGCAATGATGTTACTTATCATAAATCCTTCCTTCCCCTTAACATATATTTTGTTATGGTGTAGCATAACCCATTCTTCTACTGTTTCATACAAAAAAGATATACATATTCAGAAAATATTTATGAATTTCTCACAATATATTATATTTCTACTTTAAGGTAGAGAGTCCGATGATTTAATAGCCATGGGGACAATCTGGAGTCCAAATACAGGAGCACAGAAAAACTCAGGTTCAAATAGTGCCAATGGAATACAAAATGTTACAGGCAAAAGTGTTTCCATGGTGGCATCTAACAGTTCAACCACAGTGGCACGCAAAAATGTTAAACCAATCATGGTTCAGAATTCTTCATCACATGGTCGGTCTAATTTCAAAGAAGGTATGTAACTAAAAATCAACATAATTTTAAAAGTGTGATAGAGGAAACTTTTGGACTGCAGTTGTTTAGAATTTTACTTTTTATTTCTCGAATCAGGAAGTCTTGTTATTCAAATTTGACATAGAAAATATGTTTGGTGCTTTTTAGATGAAATGTTGGTTCTCCTGTGCATTCCAGGTTCTTCAACTAATAAAAACTGGCCACCAGGTTATAGCCAATAGTGACGACAATCAATCAATCAATCAATCCATGCCAGTACAGTGGTTGAATAAGAAAGAACCACAAAAAAAGTTTTTAGTCATGGAAGAGTGGAGAACAAATTAACCATGCATGGAAAATAATAATGGGTTAAGGATAAATTACAAAATGTGGATTAGAAAAACAATAGTTTGGTGTGATAGTCAATAGAATTTTAATAATTGAATTTTAATGATTCTGATTTTTAAAGTAAGTGAGAAATAAAGAGTTAACTTGATATTAACAAAGATGTAAATACTTTTCTTTCTTTTACAGTTGAACCAAGATATACAGATCCAGTTATTGGTGCTCAACCCTCTTTTCAACAAAGACTAATGGAGTTAAGTGCCCTTGAATCAGAAACAATTAGATATGAAAAAAGTAAAAAGGTGAAAAAGAAAGTTAGAGACAGAGACTCTTGAGGATAACTTATTGTTAAATTATTTCAAATTAGTTCATCTATATTAAAAGACATAATTTAATATTTATCACGTTAACAATCCCAGGGATTTTTAACCAAATAAAGACTGCTGAATAAGCACATCTGTGATACATGCGTACGTGGTGTCTGTGGCAGTGTGAAGAAGGGGAGATTACTCCTGATCATATCAAGACAAGAATGTATGTTGTTGGAGTTATATTTGAATGAGTTCTCTATATAGAACTCAAGATTTGACTTTAGTCTTTCATAACAAATAAAAAGACATGTATGCATTGTTTAGATAAATCACAGAAAAATTATTTCAGTGTTTTAATTTCATGACTTGAGATGCATTTGCTACAATTGATTGAGAATGGCATGAGTGAAACCTAAAATAAATCTACAATATACATGTAATACAGTTTAAGATTTCCTTGTATGTCAATTGAAAAAGTACTGAAATTTTAAGTTTTGGCTGCTTTTTCTATGGTTTTTTTCACCCACAGATATAGACCATATGCAATAACCAACTAATCAATTCACCAATGTGTTTTTCTGTATGGACAACACCTCTTGTATAGATATTTACTTAGTACGGACATGCAATTGATATTTCTAACATGCAAATATTTGTCAAAATTTATTTTAATAAAAATTATATTAAAAAGACGATACAGTTTATACTTCAAACTGTATCAATTATTTTAATGCAAAAATCACATGATTTTGTACTTAATAAATCCCTTAGCAGACATGCAAATTTAAAATGAATCATTTTAAGAGTATCTATTTATATCTAATCACTCTGCTTGTCATCCAAAATACAGAAATGATTAATTACCATCAACAGAACACAATGTTAAATCTTTTGTTAGGATTTCCTCTAGCTTTGTTTACATAGTACATAAGAAAAAAATTAAATAATATATAAAACTTTATTTTAAAAAGATTATAAATAGTCCAGTAGATTCATATTACGATAGGTTTTACATTGAAAAACATCACAAGTCTTCTTTTAAGATTTGCATTTCAGTAATCTGAATCAATATGGCTGCAATCTGGGAACATAATGTTACCTAGAACAATGAGAAAATAATTATATAATCCTTCTAGGCCTGTTGAAAGATTTCAGATCTTTGTACCTGTTTTTAGACTATAATGCATAGTAGACCATGTAATACAGGCTTCATTGAGCCTTTTAGATCTGAAGGATAAAAAAGTGGACTGATACCTCTTGCTAGCTGAAAGCTAATGCTTGACACTGATGATATACAGATTCTATAAGTAATGCATCAAGTCAAATGACAAAATTTTCAATTGGAAAAAAAAAATCCTAGTCCAGTTTTGGATGAAAAAATATGTTAAAAAAGATGTATTTATATAAGAGAGGATCTGCATGGAGGATGAAAGGTTTTAGTGGGACAACAATCCAAGTCAAATTGTTTTTTGATGAAATGGATACATTGTTTTTACCATGCTAGTACAAATGGAATGTATGAATGCTTATAAACTATATTTTATGGGTGCTGAATTGTCACTGGTCATATGAAATCCATTACTTTATGAATTAATTAATGCTTTTGTTGTTACTATTTCATTAGATCTAAACATACATTCTAAACAAAAAACATTTAAATTACAGGATGTTTTTAGTTAATTTTTATTAATGACTTTTTTGCATGTAAAATTTCATTGAAATGCTTTACTGGGTATGTCATGTTAGAGTTATTCCCCTTTTTATACTTTTATATGTTCTTATCAGTGCATATTTCAAAAATCTTGTCATACTAGGTTTTTTTTCAGTAGAAGATTACAGATAATTTATTCGGTTTCATATTAAGTGAATCATATTTTTATTAAGAATTAAATGTCTTTGGAATTTATTATTTTTTTTCTTCATTTTTTCATTTTCTAAATTTGGCTTTTCAATTTTATGAATCTACAAGTTTAAATTATCAACACATCTAGGTTTCTGTGATTAACTGGATATAAATATGTATATTTATAAAAACCAGTTTATGACTATCAACAGTATTATTTTGACTTATAAGTTATACAATGTAACAAGGTACTTTACTTCATTTGTGCTGAGACTATTATACTAACATTAGTAACTAATGTTAGTATAATAGTCCCAGATTTGTGTAAATTTACGTATTCATAGGAAAATGTATTGCTAGTTTCCAATCTATTGTTTTTATTCATAATGGTAAGTTCAAAAAATTTGAAGAAAAAAAATTTGTAAGTTGTAATTTTTTTAATTTGTCAAAAAGTATTGAAACAGACAGCATTATAAGGCAGATCATATTTGTACAAAAGGAGTGTGCTGTCTAATTTACACCACTGGATAGTCAGAAGCATATGCAAAAATAATAGACATAAAATAATTAAATTCCAAGTTGAGTAACTTAGAAACATTTTCAGCAAAAAATCTGTTTATTGATAGTATAAACTTATCTATTGGAAAGACAGGTATTTTTTTTTATGAAATTCAAACAAATGAGGAAACTAAAAACATTATTTACACAATAGATGTATGTTAAAAGTTTCTTGTTACTTTTTGCTGTCCATATTTTGATTGTTTCTATTAGCATTATTGTTCAAACACTGTCCATATATATGAACATTTATTATTTAACTGAATCTACATGATTCAAATAAAGCTTTTACCAAATGTTTTCTGTGCTTTCTTAGTAGATTGCAAGATAGTTGTTGTTTGCTCTATATCCAGTGGCAAATAGTTCTCGATTCAAGTAATTTTCAAATATTTCTTTGTAGAGGTGATTGTTGTATGTTCAGTGCAGCTGGTTCAGTGGCAAATATTTCTTGACATGTTACTGATACATGTCCAGTGGCAAATATGTCATGATAGAGGTTACTTAAAATGTCCAGTGGCAAATATTTCTGGGTAGAGATCACTGGCACATGTCAGGTGGTAAATATTTCTTGTTAGAGGTTACTGGCACATGTCAAATAGCAAATATTTCTTGTTAGAGGTTACTGGCACATGTGCAGTGGCAAATATTTCTTGGTAGAGGTCACTGACACATGTTCAGTGGCAAATATTTTTTGTTAGAGGTTACTGGCACATGTCCAGTGGCAAATATTTCTTGGTAGAGGTTACTGGCACATGTCCAGTTGCGACTATTAATAGCCTTGATAGTGATGTTATTGACACATTATGTACTTTTATTATTTTATGGCCAATAGGTCGAAGGTCAAGGTAACTTAATAAAAATGGAAAACAAATTGGTAAAATGGTATCTGGGTTTTCACTTGAGTTTCCTTGCTTGCTTGGAATGAAACTTATAATACAGATGTAGGATACAGATAAGGGAAGAAGCCTATTGATTTTCGTGGTCAAAGTCACTGTTACTACAAAAAAAGTAAAGCTGGTTTCTAGATTAGAGGCGAAAAAATTAGCAATGCGATTGGATATAGATATAAGAAGATGTGGTATGAGTGCCAATGAGACAACTCTCCATCCAAGTCACAATTTGTAAAAGTAAACCATGATAGGTCAAAGTACGGCCTTCAACACAGAGCCTTGCTCACACCGAACAGCAAGCTATAAAGGGCCCCAAAAATGACTAGTGTAAAACCATTCAAACAGGAAAACCAACGGTCTAATCTATATAAAAAACGAGAAACGAGAAACACTTATGAACCATATCAACAAACGACAACCACTGAACATCAGGTTCCTGACTTGGGACAGGTGCAAACAAATGCAGAGGGTTTAAACGTTTTAATAGGCGCCAACCTTCACCCTACCTGAAACAATAGTGTAACATCACAACATAGAAAGACACTATAAAATATCAATTGAAATGGCTTAACTCAAAAGTTCATTTGTCCCTCCAAGTATACTAGTATTTTGAACCCTTGAAATAAAAATGTTTTCTCTCAATAAATGCAGTGTGGGAGCATCAGTTTTGCAGTGCCAGCGTTTAACTTGTTAATTTTAAGATTAAGAAATTCTTATTGGAGATGGAAGTAGCTTCACATGAACAAATATGTTATTGAATGGTATGTATGATGGGGAAATTTATCAAGTTTATATTGTACTGTGATTCAGAGAGTGGGAAGTTATACAATATTTGAGCAAAGTATCTGCATTTGCAGTAGCTTAACACACAGTCTTCTTTAAGAAGGTCAAGCAAGTTACATTAAATTGGCAATGTCACAGATTTTGTTCAAATTTTATATACCAAGGGCGGATACAGCCATTTTTAAAAGGGGGGTTCCAACCATATGTCCCCATTCAAAAGCATTGATCGTCAAAAAAAGGGGGGTTCCAACCCCCGGAACCCCCCACCCCTGGATCCGCCACTATATACAACTTAGATTTGTTGGTCTATAACTGAAAATCGATGATATAATGCATTTACCTTTAATTTCTGAAATATTACTTTTTGAATTCTTTTAAAATAGATGTACATTAGGATAGAAAGCACATAAAGTCGGCGAAAAACCTTCTTAAATTTGTCTTTAAATCATCAAATCCATATATTTTATAATATATTTATAAGTAATATGTTGTTGATACATAAATTTCCATTTTAATGATGTAAAATAATAATAGTCAGTAACTTCCTTTATGTGGTAAACATTATTAAAACGGTGGTGTTCTAGGTGAAAAAATTTCACAAAACGTCGAAATAATGGTCATCGCGTTGCAAGTCATATATCACTACCAACTAGGTAACATATTGAACAGATATATCATGTTAAGGGGGGTATTTGCGAAAAATACCAGTCGAGAGAATGTTAAATTTCGCGAGCCTTAAGGCGAGGGAAATTCATTCTCAAGACTGGTATTGTTAACGTACAAAACGCATTGATGATCGTGACATAAAACGCTTTGATGATTGTGACATTACAAGCGTCCAGTCGGATAGAGTATTTTTTGGCAAATACCACGTCAGAGAGGGTAAGAAAGGCATATCCTTTTTATACGACCGCAAAAAAATTTTGAGGTCGTATATTGGTATGACGTTGGCGTCGTCGTCGTCGTCCGAATACACAATGGTTTTCGCACTCTAACTTTAGTTTAAGTGAATGGATCTCTATGAAATTGTACCATAAGGTTCAATACCACAATAGGAAGGTGGGGATTGATTTTGGGGGTTATGGTACCAACAGTTAAGGAATTAGGGGCCAAAAGGGGGCCGAAAATAAGCATTTTTGTAACTTCCAGACATAACTTGTGTGTTAGCATATGGATCTCTTTGACATTGTACCACAAGATTCCATATCACAAAGGGTCAATGCTGGGATTGATTTTGGGGTTAATTGCCTCAAAATTTTAGGAATAAGGGGCCAAAAGGGGGCAAAAAACAAGCATTTTTCTAGTTTCATGACAATAACTTGTGTGTAAGTGTATGGATCTTTCTGAAATTTTACTACAAGGTTCCATTTCACAAAGAGAAAGCTGGAATTGAGTGTTGTGGTAATTGCCCAAAACGTTTAGTAATAAGGGGCCTAAAAAGGGGTTTAAAATAAGCATTTTTTTAGTTTCTAGACAATAACTTGTGTTCAAGTGTATGGATCTCTCTAAAATTGTATTACAAGGTACCATACCACAAAGGCAAGGCTGTTATTGAGCTTGGTTTGGGGGGAAAGGGGGGTGGGGGTGATGAATCATAAGGGGGCGGGGGTCAAAAAAGGGGTAATTTTTTTTTTTCCTTTTTTTTTTGTTTAAAATTTACATTTTAAGTTAGTTATTTTTTATCACGAAGAGAAAGTAGGAATTGAGTTTTGGGGTTAATTGCTCAAACATTTATGAATAAGGGGCCAAATATTGGTCGAAAATAAGGATTTTTTTAGTTTGCAACAAAAACTTGTGTTCAAGTGTATGGATCTCTGTGAAATTGTATTGCAATGTACCATACCACAAATTGAAGGTTGTGATTGAGGTGGGGGATGATGAATCAAAAGGGGGTTGAAAAAATGTGTGGGGGGTAGGATTTTTTTTTTCCTTTTTTTTTCTTTAAAATTTTCCATTTAAAGATGGTTGTTTCAGATTTAGATATGAAAGAAAATAATAATGATACGGTTATATATCATGAGGAATTGAAATTTAAAATTATGTATATTGGAAATTTAGGTTACATTGGAAAGTAATAATTGGCTTTGGGGGGGGGGGGGGGGGGGGTTATGGCTCTAATGTTTAAGGAATAAGGGGAAAAAAGGTTAAAAAACAAGGGTTTCCATTTTAATAGACAAATAATTGAGTAAAGAACATTATTTAAAAGCAGTGTAAGGTTGGTAATTCAAACTCATTTAAATATCTCATCTACACTGCTTTTAAATTATGTAAATTGGAAATTTGCCAATAACTTTATTGTTAATAAATACATTGGAAATTTGCCAACAATTTTAGTGTAATAAACTTCATTGGAAATTTGCCAATATAAAATTTTGCTGATGAAGGTTTTTTGTTTACCTTTAGCCTTGACTATGAAGTCATTTTCTATTTTTATAGCCTTATGATGTAGTTGAATTATTTAATACTTTTATGATGTGTTTAAATGGGGTTTTATCATGTTTATGGTTGCAAATTTATTGTTGTAGTATAATAAACTCCATTTAAAATTTGCCAATAAAAAAAATTTTTGTTTATTTTTAGCTATGATTATGATGTCATTTTCTATTTTACTTTTATGGTTGCAAAGAAATTTTTATTTTTAGATATTACTGTTAAATGATGCTGATTAAGGTTTTTGCTATGTTTAGCCATGACTATGATGTCATTTTCTATTTTAATATCTGTTATGATGTATTTAAATGGGCTTTTATGGTTACAAAGGAATTTTATTTTTAGATATTACTATAAAATGTTGCTGATGCTGATTAAGGATTTTGTTTATTTTTAGCCATGACTATGATGTCATTTTCTATTTTAATACCTTTATGATGTAATTTCCATTTTTAGATATTACTGTTAAATGATGCTGATTAAGGGTTTTTTGCTATGTTTAGCCATGACTATGATGTCATTTTCTATTTTAATATCTTTATGATGTATTTAAATGGGCTTTTATGGTTACAAAGGAATTTTATTTTTAGATATTACTTTAAATGTTGCTGATTAAGGATTTTTGTTTATTTTTAGCCATGACTATGATGTCACTTTCTATTTTAATACCTTTATGATGTATTTAAATGGGCTCCCATGTATTTAGATTTTTGATTATTTATACATGTTACCAAATTGGTCCACATTGAACAAAAACGGTCCAAATTTCAACTTTATTACATTACATCAAACATTGAATTCTACATATTCTTTGATATATTGAAATTAACAAACAATTTAGTTTATGGATATTCCACCATAATAGGTAAATTAAATTTTTTCCAGTTCTTACACCACATTCATCCTGTGTCAGAAACCTATGCTGTGTCAAATATTTAATGACAATCCAAAGTCATAGCTGTATCAAGCTTGAATTTTGTGTCCATACTTGCCCCAACTGTTCAGGGTTCGACCTCTGCGGTCGTATCAAGCTGCGCCCCAGCGAAGCATTTTATTGCATATACCCCGGCGCTGTTTAAAAATGAACGATATTCATTTGATAAAAGTAAATTGGTGAAAAATACACTGGCTATCAACCAATCAAAACTCAGGATTCTTACATAAGGTGTAATTATGGTCAATACACCGTCATAAACC